TCCGAGGCAGAGGAAAGCACCTGCCCTACAGCCTCCCCACCACCATGTGGGCCCCCTGCTAGGGACCTCTCCATCGTTCTCTTTTGGCACGGTTGCTAAATGGTTTGCTCAGCAATGAAAGCATTTTTTGTACAGCTGAAGAAGATCCCATATTTGGAGTTTAAAAATCGGGGGGAGGTGAGTAGCTCTCCTGTCTAAAATGGCGCCCATCTCACGTGCTCTTTTGGGTGGCAGGCGCCACTTTGTGTCTAACCTGAACCCCGGCTTTGTGGGGGGCTGCCTTGTTTGAGGCTTAAAGGCACAGGGTGCCTCACAAGCTGCACCTTGTATCAAATGTGGGAACATTCAGCATGGGTCAGAAAGGGGCTGTGGGCTGGCCCATTGACTCTGATTGTGTGTGGGTGAGGGAGAGACCAAAGACTGAGCTCTGTCTCCTGCTGCCAGCCTGAGGAATTCACAGAGAGGCAGAGAGAGCTTGGCATTTACTCCAAAGCCCACATCTCCCCAGTTGCCAGCCAGCAGAGATGTGGCATGTTGATTTCATGTATTTGCTTTTCTTCTTCCCCTCTGAGAATGCTGTACTTGCTTCACTTTTTTTGTTAAAAAAAAAAAAAAAAAAGGAAAGTGAAGTCAGGCTGCTTTGTTCACACGCTCAGAGAGCCCCTGAAGGGCAGCCTGCACCTGCCAGCTCGCCTGGGTGGCAAGCTGAGAAGGATCGGGAGCTGCCAGAGGGATGGTGTCTCGCAGCACCATTTCTATCTGATTGTTCCGTCTGTACCCGCAGTCTAAGGAACCGAGGCAGCCACGGCCACCGATCTTTCACCTCTTGCCTCTGCTCCACCCCGATGCCAGTGCCAGGCCCAGCTTCCTAGGGCACCGGTTAATCATGGGCCCCACTGCTTGGGACACTGCAGGATGCAGCCCAGACTTCTCATGTGCCATGCAGGGCTCCACAGGGTAGCTCACTTTGACCTCTAAGCACCTTCTCTTGCTTCAGTCAGGCCTGTCCCGTCCCTGCCTCCCGAAGTTACCACAGTCATGCCTTTCTAGGCTGGCCACCCACTTCAGAGAACCCTTCTGCAAGGGAAGGCCAAGGGACAGCTCGGTGCCCATCCTGCCACGGTCTGTGCTCCGTGCATCACTCTGCTGTGGGCTTCTCTAGCTGCAGTCGTGAGTGGGGGTAGAAGGTGGGTCGCTTCAGCTAGATCCTGAGCTCCTTGAGGCCCACGCCTTGTCTTACTCAGCTTTGTGCCTTCCGTGGGTCCTTGTTCCACGTCCTCCTATCTTGAACAAGCTAGCACCAATGGATGGTGTGCTAATGGTGAGAGAGGGAGGAGGAGGGACGTGTTCCTAGAGCTGCCTTCCTGAGGCTGCTCTACCACCTTCATCCTAAGATAGGACTAGATTACGCTGCGTCTCCCCACACCAGCTTCCTTCTTCCAGCCTGTGTCAGGTCACTCAAGGCCATCTGGGTGATGACTCGCCTTTCTCATTAGCAGTCCAGGAGCACTGCCCCTTACTCAGGGTCCTTTTATCTAATGACCTCACATCAGGACATGGTATTTCAGGTTCCCTGTTGTGCTTTAAGAGTCTATTAGCCTGGCCGGGCGCGGTGGCTCACGCCTGTAATCCCAGCACTTTGGGAGGCTGAGGCGGGCGGATCACAAGGTCAGGAGATCGAGACCATCCTGGCTAACACAGTGAAACCCCGTCTCTACTAAAAATACAAAAAATTAGCCGGGCGTGGCGGCATGCGCCTGTAGTCCCAGCTACTCGGGAGGCTGAGGCAGGAGGATGGCGTGAACTCGGGAGGTGGAACTTGCAGTGAGCCAAGATCACACCACTGCACTCCAGCCTGGGCGACAGAGCGAGACTCTGGCTCAAAATGAAAATAAAAATAAAGAGTCTGTTAGCCTGGAAGATTCTCAAGGGCAGAAACTGTTTAGAGTCCAAGAGAGTGTGGAGCATGGGCTGTGAAATCAGTTTTCTTTTCTGTAAAATGGGGATAGTAGGGTATACCTATCTTGTAAGGTTGTGGGAAGCTTGGTTCCTGGGGTATATAAAGACTTATACGTCAAAGTTGCTCTCATGATTCTGATGAATCATAGGATTCATAAGCTGGGTGCCCTGATGGGACTTCACTGTAGCTTTGCTGGTGTGAGTGACTTCAGTGCCCTTTGACAAGTGTGACCAGAGGAGGCAGAACTGTTGCACTGCAGCCTCCACTTTCTCTTACTTGCCTGTTGTTTCCCCCTACCTGCTGGGGACCCCCTGAACCCCAAGGCCCTCAGACTTCTGAGGAAGTGGCTAGTGGCACAAATTAATTTATAATCAGAAATGAAGGTGGAAAGATCCAGGGACAATGAGGAAACCATTCTGCCTGGGCAAGGTGTAAGCTGGGGAGAATAGATGAAAAATGGTTAGGAAGTAGAGGGGGCTACCCTCAAGGGCCCTCCGTGACACCAGGTCCCCACCTGAGACTGGTCGGATCAGCCCCTCCAATTTGTTCAGTCTCATGTCCTCAGACTCTCCTCACATCCACCAGCTCTTTTAATCCCCATGTTAAAGAAGGGGAAACAGGAGCTCAGAAAGGCAAACTGCCTTGCCCTTGATCACACAGCTAAAAAGCTCAAAGTGAAAAACAGGTCTCGTGACTCTTGGTCCAGCTGGTAAATGATCTATCCCTGAATCAAAGAAGGAATGTTGTGAGAATGAAGTGGCAGCCGTGGGCCCCTCAGGAGCGGCCAGGTGAGGCTGCAGAGGACAAAAGGCATTAGCCATGCCAGTCAGGCAGCCCTGGTGCTACATCGGGAGGCGACTAGACATCTGCCCCTTCATCTGCAGACAGCGTCGGTGGGGCTGCTGCGCCGAAGCCAGAGAGAGTAGCTGCTGGTGGCTGTAATACACACTAGCTTTTATTGTTAGGCTCCCCATCTGAGTTGGGAAAGGGCTCAGGATGGGAAAACCACTGCAGGTTCCTTTAAAGTAGGGGAGCTGCACTCAGAATGGGAGAGCTCTCACCTCTGGGAGGCGGGCCTGCCAGGGAGCCAGTGAGACTGCAGGCTCACCAGCACAGGTCACCACCAGCACAGGTCACCACCACAGCTCTGTGTTGAGGGTCTGGAAGTCCCTCTGGCTGGAATTAATGTCCCCCTCCCATGATGGCCATGCCTGTTGTGGTAGCTCTGTGTCTGCCCGTCTGTGCTGCCGTGGTGATTAATACCCTCCTGTCTTCCTAACTGGATTGTGGCTGCCTGAAGGGCAGGGAGCCCCACTTCTCATATCTGTTTCTTCAAGGGCCTGACCCAGGGTTTAGCACACAGTTCTAGGTGTGACATGATACCTGCTGGGATCCGGGAAGGACTTTCCACACCCACAGCCCCAGGTAGGACATGAATTAGTCCATCCAGCCATCCCCAGTGAGCGCCTCCCAGAGGCCAAGCCCTGTGGTAGGGGGTGGGGTTACAGAACCTGGTAAAATGTGGTTCCTGCCCTCCGGTGCTTTCAGTACTCTCTTCCTGAGCGACTAGAAGGGTAGCAGAAAAGAGAGGTGGGTTCCCCACCCGCAAGTCTTCTAATCCTTATCATTTGCAAAATGTGGTATCCTGGTCGCCCATGCAGACTTCTGCACCAGCCCAAGGGAGGCTGCCCAGTTGCGGTGTTTTACGGTAGGATGTTCCCAAGCCCCGAGCAAAAGCATTCCTCCTGCTGTTTCTCTGACCTCACGGGAGAGCACCCAGACAGTGGCCAAGACCACCCCTACATCACTCTTGGCACAGGCGGGGTGCAAGGTAGGACCCGGCTTCGTCCACCTGCCCCTGTCAGCCTGCCCGGGGTTCCAGCCGCCGCAGCGTCCCAACCGAGAACGCGGGGGCAGGGGTTCGCGCAGCTGCAGGAGCCTGGCGGAGCCGCGTGTGTGCGCGCCTGTGCGTGCGCGCCGAGGGGGCGGGGAGGGCGGCGCGCACCCCGTGGAGGCCCCCAGCGCTTTCCGCTACCTCGCGCCTCCCTGCGGTCCCTTCTCCCTGTGCGCCCTAGCCAGACCCACGTGTGCAAAGGCATGGGGGACGTGTGTGTGAGAGAGTGTGTGTAGGTCTATCCGGGAGACCGCGTGCCCTGGCCGGACGGGCCCCCACGTGCATAGGGGGCGGCGGCCAGCTCGACAGTGGCCGCGCTTCTGTCCCCGTCCAGTACTTCTCCCCAGACCTTTCCTCTGGCTTGCTTGGGCCGTGGGTACCTCCAGCCATCCTCCTCCTCTCGCCACTCCCTTCCTCGGGTAAAAGACACCAGCGCTTTCCGTTGACGGTTCTGGTTCACCCCTCAGCTGCAGAGCCCTTGACATTTAGCGAGGGTTCGCGGCGCACTTGTTTAGGCACACAGCAGAACGCTAATCCCATTAAAGATAGTGTGTCATTGGGGAGGGGGTGGCTCCCCAGCGGGGCCGGGAAGGCCTCGCGCCCATTGGTCGAATGCAAAGCAGGGGGCGGGGCCGAGGGCCCGGGGAGGGGGCTCCAGGCGATTTCAGAGTCGCGAGTCGGGGCCGGGATTTCGCAGGGAAAGCCCAGCGGTTGCAGCTGCGGCGGATCCCTCGGCACTGTCCGCCGCGCACCGGGGCAGCCCAGGGCCGGCGGCAGCTCCGCAAAGTCGCGCACCGAGAGGAGGCGGAGCGCCGGCCAAGTGGTGGGGCTCAGCGCCGGGGCTGGGCTGGGCTGGGAGAGGTGTGCCCAGGGAGCCTGGATCCCGGTGCCCTTCTGCCTCGCGTGGAGCGGCCAGTGCGGCCGGAGGCGAGCTGACGCCCTGGGAAGAGAAATCAAATTGCAGCCTCCCCAAAGACTCTGAGTTACGCGGGCGAGCTGGTTCCCGGGGATCGTTCGCGAGCGCGCAGACAGCCGCGCCGCGCCGCAGAGCCCTCCCGGGCCCGCCGGTCAGGAGCGGGGAGCGGGGAGCGGTCCGAGAGGCAGCAGCCCCTGGGCGCGGGGTTCGGCCGCGAGTGCGCCCCGGTGCAGAGAGGGGGCGTGCAAGGCTCCGCCGGCCCGCCCGCAGCCCGCGCCCGACTTGGGCGCCCCCTCCGTCCCATTCTGGGAGCGATGCCCCCCGCCCCTCGCGCCCCCCGGGAACGCCGTGAGCATGGAGAAGTCGAGTAGCGAGGATTCTTCGATCCACCGGAGTCCATCTTTGGACAGCAAGGACTCGGACTTTGCCAAGCCGTCCACCTCCGGCCGCCCGTTCGGCCGCGGCTTCACGGCCGGCGCCTTCTACGGCACCGCGGGCTCCCGGGGCCAGAGCCGCGCCGAGGCCGGCGTTAAGACCGACAAGTACAATGCACCCAAAGGCAGCAAGTACGTGGTGTTTTACCTGGACCTGTCCTTTGTGTTCCTCCTAGAATTTAAGAAGTGCAACATGGCCAGGGGCTGCCTCTGCTGCTTGAAGTACATGATGTTCCTCTTCAATTTGATATTCTGGGTAAGTCCTTCCGTTTCTCTCTCCCTTTGCCCTGTTCTCCTCTTGGCTTACCATAGCGTGAATACCCTCTCCCTCCTCGGTGCTGCATTGCTCTGCTCTCTGCACGGTGGTAAGTGTGCTTTTAAAAAAATTGCCCCCGCCCCCCTTTCATGCACCTTTGTCTTTCCTTTCTCCCTCTCTTTGGTGGCTGAATGGGAGCTCCAGCTTGCCTGTCTGCAGGAGAGACTTGCTCTATTCCTAAGAGGCTGGCAAAGTTTGGCACCACCTCCTTCCCCTGTAAGAAAACCTAGGCTGGAAGTTCCTCTGACTGGGCAGCCTGCAGTAATGGCTGTGGGGTCAGAATTTTTAACAGCTGTGAGCTTGAGTTGGAGATAAGCACAAATGAGGATGTATTTCTGAGTTTCTTCTTATATTCCTGCTGAACGCACAAGAATACAATCGGAGCAGTTTATGGGAGTGGGTTGGAGGGGGGCGGGGTGTAGAGGCCACATCTTCCCACTTCTTTCAGTGAATCCTAGGAAAAAGAGGAGGAACCCCTGTCCCAAGCCAATGGACCTGCTTGCTAGTCCTCAGATACGCTCCCGGGTTGGGGCCTGGGTGGGAAAGGAGGGGTGTGGGGGCATGCTGCCATCGGGTGGCTGGCTGCTGCTTTTGAGGGATTGCAGTGGACTGGGCAGGGAGCTGGCTGGCCACGTGCTTCCAGGTTCTGGGAGCCCCAGTGGCCGGAAAGGACAAAGGGAGACAAGCAGAGTGCCCATGTCCTTGGTGAGAGGCCCTTTTTTAGAGAAGTTATGAATGGGTAGGGCAGCTGGGAATTGCTCTCTGTCCTCTGTGTGACTCTGGAGGCTGTGCACACATATGTGCACGTGCATAAGAAATACTGGTTAGGAAAATTTGAAAACTTCTTAAATTCATCTCGAATTGTTCCTTCATCCCAACTGCCGTCTCTGCCTTTCTTCACCCAAGCCCTGACATAGCACAGATGTTTGGCTCTGTCCCAGAGTCTGTCCTGCCCGCTGGAGGCTGTCAGCTGCCCACTGCCCGTGGTCCAGGAGGAGCACTGAGGGCAGGAGAAAGTCATTCAGAGTGAAGTCAGGAAGAAGCAGTTGTGCTGAAGAGGCATTCAGCTTTTGTGTGGAGTGATCCACATTAGCTGAAAAACTTTTTAGGGTGGGGGTGTGTGTGGAGGGGGTGACTTTTCCCATAGAATTGCAAGCGCAGGAAGAAGACTGGGCTCCAGTCTTGGTTCTGCATTGGCTTCTTGTGTGACCTTGGGCAAATCACTTGGTCCCTGAAGGACTGGGCTTCCTTTCCAGTCCAACAGGGGCTGCCGTGGTGGTCTCCGTCCTTGTCTTCACCTCACTGGTTATATGCCATCTGGGGTGGGGGCAGGCATCCTCATCTTCTCTCTTGGGGAGAGGAGCCCCCTTCCCTGCCTGGGGCGTGGGCTGCTTTTCCAGAGACTGGTCTGAGATGACTTGAGTTGGAGTCCCCTAAGCTGTCACCATGCGTTGGACCCTCCAGCCACCCTATTAGCATGTTACCTGTCATGTGCCTAGAGTTTTATGGAAGCTGGGGCAGATAGTCTCATTCTTCTTCTGGTGGCGAGCACCATTGGAATGTCTCTGGCTGCCTCGTGGGCCAGTGCCTCCTGGTCCCGTGACCCGTCTGCCAGCATCTGTCAGCCAAGTACTGGTGTGTGCTTCCCTGGTGCCTTTGGACTCACACCAATGCTGTCCTTTTCATTGTTCACAGCTTCCTTCTCCATCCTTTTTCATAGTCTCAACTTACCTTTTGGTTTCGCCCCACCCTGCCTATATTAAGCCTTATTAGGAAGACCCTGGGGCGGGTAACCCCACTCAGCTGCGTTCACTCCTCCCCACCCCCACCCTGCCACCTGCTGGCCAGAGTTGGTATAACTGCCTGCGGTGCCTTTCTCTTCCAGGATGAGCCCAAGCTGGTTTGGGGACCTCCTCGCTGGCTAGTACAGTGATTTGTGCCCTGCACATAGTAGGCCCTCATTATATGTTTGTGAGTGAATGCATGGAGGGCCAGAGCTGTAAATCCACAACATGTTGTTATGTGGTAGTGGCTCCTGAGTTCCACTTGATGGGGAAGAGAAGTTAGATCTCACGCTTGCCTCTCTGATAAAGGCTCTCCTTAGCTATGGGATGACAAGCGATTCTTCCCATCTTCCCTTAAAAACTTGGCAGAGGTTAATGAGCTAGTTGGTGAAATATTTTGTCTTTATGGTTGATAGCGAGAGAACTTGCTGTCTCTTCCTAATTAGAAGGTACCGATTACACTCTCTTACCAGGCTAGGAGTTGTTCTCTCCTGGGTTCTGACTTTTCTGATTACTTAATATTTTCAGGATTCCCATGACATACTATAAGCAGGGAAAAATTGAGTCTCCAAGACCCACTTCTTGTATGCTAGTAGCAAATGAGATGATGAAATAAGACATAGACCTTAGGTAAGATGGGGAATTTAGCAGAAGAGAAGTTCATGCTTGTGTGTAAGAGTGTTTGCCACTGTATTTTTCGGGAGGTGGAGGAACAGGTGCAGCAGGGTGTTGGCCAGGATTTGGGGGTGGTGGGTCACTGTGCTCCACTCAGATGAAGACTTCCTGCAGGCTGGTGCTTGGCCTGATCCTGGGGAAGGAGCAGAGGAGGGAGCAGAATGGGAAGGGAAAACCTCAAAGGCAGGTGGGGTGTTGATGAGTCAGGGTTCCTGGGGGGCCTCTGCTGCTGTTTTGTGCAGGGGGGAAGGGGAAGCATGCAGGCTGCGTCAAGCCCAGCCCTCTGGGACCAGGTGCAATTGTTAGGAATTTTGTAGCCTTAACGTGTAGTCTTGTGGCTCAGATCCAAAAAGGAGGCTTTTCTGAAGCATTAGAGTTGAACCTGAGGCCTGCAATCAATAGATAGAGCTCTTCCCATAGATCCTGGAGCCTATCTGGTGTTTCTCTGAACTCACTGCTGCCGCTACCCGCCCCCCGCCCCCCCTTCCCCCGCGCCTCTGAGCGCCTGGGAGGATTCCCACGTGGAGGACAGGTGCAGCTGTCGTACACTGCAACCCTACACAGGCGTGCATGGGTTCCTTACCACTGGGTGGAGCTTCTAGGGTATAGTATTGGTGAGGGCTGGGTGACGTCACTGGGGGTAGGCTGGGAGGTGGAGTCACACAGCCTGTGGTCCTCCTCCTTACTAAGAAAAGGGCAGGTGCCTTACAGGCTGCTGGGTGCCTGCCTGCTTGTAGGGGTCCAGGTCTGCTCCTGACACTGCAGCTTCAACCAGACAGTGCTAGCCATGTTGGCAACCCAGTGCACTATGGGAATCTGGGGCCACCAGGAGGGCAGCAAGGTGAGGGTAGAGAAGAGGGCAGTGGTCACTCCTGACTGAGTCCCATCTCCTCTTTGTCTTCTGCATCCCCTGTCCCGACTCTCAGGACTAAAGACAATGCTGGCTTCTAGGTGGATAGGGAATAGGAGGCTTGAATTGGAACAAAAGTTTCCCCATACTGAGGATCCTGTTCCCCAGTAAGCACGCTCACCCTAAGGGATTTCTCCCAGCAGTGAAAACCATCTGGGCATTTTCCTCAGTCAGCCGCATCTCTGGGTCCTCCCAGGGCCATCTAGTAGAATACTGGTAGTAGAGACTCAGTGATTCTAAGCCCCTCCCAGAGGGCAAACAAGGCTCAGAGCTTCAAACTGTGAGTAGAGAAGAGAGCATAGGGCTGGGCTGGAAAAGGGACCTCTGAATGTGGGGGTCATGGGTACCCTTCCTGGAGCAGCAAGTCCTGATCCCGTCCAGCTCTTCCCGACCCAAATCGAGTTCCTGTCTGATGTGGGGGGCGGGGGTGGGGCTGGGGCTGCTGGCATAATTGCTACTTAGGATAATGGTCACTTTTCATGCTTGCCAGCAGAGCTGTCCCATCACTTTAAATTATGGCTGGCAGAGCAGTGACATTCTGGCCCATTGGAAAGCCTGTTCCTTGTGGATCGCTCCTGTAATGAAGGCTAATTAGCTGAGGAGGCCGTGTTCAGCCAGCCTGCTGGAACAGGGGAAAGGTTGGTGCAGGGTGGCCCCGGGCAGAGTGCTGATGGGGCCCTGATTAAACTCCTTTAAGTGAGGTCAGGGCCCTCGCAGACGCTGGCTGCCTTGGGGTGCGGGCAGCGTGGTCAGGCTGTCCAGCTGCATTGGTGGCACATGCTCAGTACTGGCTCGGCCGTGTCACGAGTGCCTCTGCAGGCTCGGGCTGGGGTGTGTGCACAGTCAGTGTTGGGTGGCCTGTAGTGTCATGAGGAGTCTGTGGGGCGCCTTCTGTCTGAAAACAGCAGTCATGAGTGGGCTCAAGGGTCCCAGCAGGGAGCTTGGGTTCAGACCTGGCCTCACCTGGCCTTTCCAGGCAGAGGAGACACAGGGTCACCTGGGCAGCAGGAGGCACTTAGGGCCTCCCCAGAGGGCTCAGGTGTGAGGGTTCAGGCTGTCTTCCTAGAGGGCTGCGACGAGTAGATCTTAAGGGTGGGTCAGGCCTGCCTCTGCTGGGGGAACGGGGACAGGTGCGGGGCCTGGCAGACACCCCGAGACTCCTGGAATGTGGCCGTGAGGGAATGCCAGGTCTGTGTTCACTTCCTCTCCACAGCATTAAAAATTAAACTTCCTTGTCTTAATACCTATTTTTAAATCTTGTCAGAGCAAGCATTGGTGTCAATCAGGAGGGGGTGGGGAGGAGGTGGGTAGAGAAGAGAAAGTCCCAGTTGAAACAGGGTAAGCAGCTCTCTCTAGCCTGAGGAAAGGGCCACTGGGCCCTCCACCCTGGCCTGTGAAGAGCACAGAAAACACCCTCCAGCCTCTTCCCCAGACGGACAGGCCTCGTCCTCCCCTGTTCCTACCTCCGTGCGCCTGGCTGCCCTTGGCCGAACTTGGTGGCAGACTCTGGCCAGAGGCCTTCTGTGGCTCATCAGGGTGCTGGGGTCCCAACTGGGTCCATTCACTCATGC